TTCCTCCTTTTGGGAAAATCACCGCGAAGGTAGAACGTAGAACCGAAAACACAAAATAAAAGGACTCACTTAGAAATCGTATTTTTTCAATTTTAGATGCAATTGCCTTAAAACTGCATACAACTTAAAATGCCACCAAAAATGTACATACATACATACATACATAACAATGTACAGAAATACAACGCTGAAAAGTGGCGTCTTTATGAGCTTTTGGACAGTTTTTATATCTTTGTCTAGAACGTCCGTAGGTTTCTCACAAATTCGGGATATCAAATCCAAATAAAAGTACTTCTATAAAGGTTTGCATTTTATTTTAAAGGTACTCACCTCGTTTTCGTTCATTAGTTCCGCTTCGTGCTCGCCATTTGCCTCGTCAAGATTGTCCAGCAGTTGATCTTCGTTCAACGATAAATCTTCGTCTGCCATCTTGCTAATCGATAATTTAAAGCTTCCTTCAAACAAGCAACCTCGCAGGAAAAGCTCACTAGACTTGGACTACCAAATTCTCCCTTTGTTGTTACTATAAAAGCGTCTATACAGGCCGCTCTCTCGCTTTTTGATTTGCCTAAAATCAGTGACGTATGAAATGTGTTTCAGTTTTCATATTTTACTAGTTATGGGCATCGGTATTCGGTATATCTACTAATATAATATCGATGAATTTAATATCGGAAATATCGAAAACGAAACGGTCAATAAAGATATATTGGAACTGAAATGCAAATAAGCATAAATTTCCCTTTCGCTATTTTGATGCCATATGGCGTCATGCTTTTTTGAATACTCAGATTTAATTGAGCTTATCTGAAATTATATTTTTATATGCAACGCTGTAATGGGAAGTTTTATAAACTATATTTTAATACGGTATTGTTATTTTTATCCTTAGTAGATGAAAAAGTTCAATTTTAAAACTTTACTAAAATATCAATTTTCTTCTGCTTAGAAAGGTCTACATTAAAATACTATATTTTACCAAATANAGTCTCCAAAATAGTGTCAAATATTGCTAGAACTTGTAATTTAATTTAAAAAAGTGCTAATAAACGCGTGGTATATTTTTAAATGTGTATGATGCCATATGGCATCAATAATATTTGAAGGAGCTGTGAAATCCGCACCAGCAAATAACGATATATTTGTACTGGGAAATTGCAACTGGTAAATTTTTTAAATGAATTATTAAATCTATGGATGTTCCAACTTGTTTTATTAAATTTGTGTGGTGTTATTTAATGCTCAAAATCTCGAAACCACCTTTCAGGAAAACACTTGGAAAAGTTGATTTTTTTTAGGAAATATAACAAAAAAGCAGTTATTTTCTTAAACTTATTTGATATGAAAAAAATGTATCTATTAATCTTGTAAAAATGTATTCTATTGTTTTTGTAAGAAAAAATATTAGATCATAAATCTTGTAAAAATTCATATTTTTGTGAAAAAAAATTCAATAACTTTGAAAAATCTGCAGATGGTAGTTCTATGTACAAGTACTCGATACCTTTCCGAAACTGAGTAGGTATCGATACCTTGTTTGATACAATTACAAGTACTGATTTGAGTAATGCCTTGATGGTATCGATTTATCCCTATCTACCACTCAAGGTCTGAGATTTACCACCTATTCGCGTTTTTCAGTAGTTTTATTTTTGCTTGACATAATTTTCTTAATTTTAAGAGCAAAAATTGTCAAACACTAAACAATATATCTATGGTAACAAGAATAATATAATACAAGATTCCGCATTCCCGGCGACGATGAAATTTCTCAAGTAAAAGTAAACAAAGCCGAATGAGAACATATGTAAAATAGTAAATTTTCTCAGTAACCAATTTTTCGACGGGAAATGTGGTTTTATTGTGTTAAAATTCCAGACTATATGATTTATAACAAGAATTAATAGCGAAAATGTTAAAAACGGCGACTTTTGTGAAAGTATTAGCAAGTTTAAGTGCATCTAAGGTTTTTGAGGCGTTGTTGACTTTTACTTGAAAGTTGTCAAAATCGGCAAATCCCAATTGGCTGTTTCTGGAACGTGGCACATTTGTTCGCTACTTCGTGATGTGATAAGAAGAAAAGCTGACAGTACTCCCTAAGGTCGCACAAATCTCTTAAAATATGTTATTAAAATATCTTAAGGCCCATCCACATAGAACTTTGGCATTGCGTTGGCGCCGCTTCAACAGCTGACTATGAATACATGAATTCAAATGCAGCCGTCCACATAGCCAAAATTATCTACATTGTTTTGCAATCTACATTTTTTTTCCAAGATTCTACCACACAGAATTTTCTTAGAGGCCGATCACTGGCGCACACCACTGAATTCGCCCAAAATGCTGTCAGCCATTTTGAGCGAATAATTTTACACGTGAATGTGTGCGCCGAACACGTAAAAAAGGAAATTCGAGTCGCTATTTTATAGCAAATCAGCTTTTCACAAACTAAATAGATTTCCATTGCACGTATTTTTAATGGTGAGTACTTACCGATTTTTATAACTAAATTAAAGTTATTCTGAAAGTCACTAATTGCGGCAAGATTATAATCTGTAGTAAACTATTTTACTTTCACACACGCGAGTTATTTCCTATACAAAGAAAGAAAGATCCACTGTCCTCACCCGCCGGCTGTACGAAAGAAACTTGCGCAGCGAAATCAAACTGTCAAGTCAAATGTCACCTATATGTCATAATTTGTAATAGATTATTTACAATGTTATGAGTTGCCGTGGTAAACTTTTTAAGGAGTGATTCCTACATCAATTCTCTCCAAGGTACACCTACCCTGGGCATGAATCATGTATAACGAAAATCGTCTGAACGATATCGTGTCGAGATTGTCTTGCTTGCTTGTTTGTGCGATATCGTCAACTCGATTCCAGTTTTGCTTCACGTAACAGTAACAGTAACACGTAACAGCAACACAAATGCATAACTCAGTGTTTTGACAACATCGTTTTGTCAGTATCGTTTGAACGACTATCGTTTCAAAGTTACGTGATTCATGCCCTGCGATTCAGTAATTCAGTCTCATCTCAATTCACTAAATTTGAGATTAGCAATTAGTGACTATTTTTGTGACTTGAGATGATTTGGCTATTCAGTAGGAGAGAGTCGCAAAAAGTTCACCAGAAATGTGTGGTGAAAACAAACACAGACAGTCAACTGATAGCGTTTATGTATGACTTCTGCCGCGCCGTACGAAGGTCGAAACAGGGAAACAAATGTCAGCGAATAAGAGCAAAGCAAACTTCGAATAATGAAGCACTTTTACTACTATTCAGCAAAATTCCCTTCGAGGTCAAAAAAGAGACCACACGCTTTTTCTAAAGGTGAAATTAGTCAAGAACGCAGAACTTATACTTAACCGCAGTCTGTATACGCAGAATTTTGTCGATTACTGGAGCCCTCAGTGTTGCCACTCATCAAAGCCTTTTCATAAACTTAACTTTTCAACTACAATTTTTCGTGCTATAATAGATGCTAGCTAAATATAAACTACTTATTTTTCAACAAAAACACCTTTCGATTGTAAATTTCCAATATTTTGAACGTATTTTGAACAGGAACTTTTTTAACATCTGCAAAACTGATGCTTGAAACACAATACCCGGCGAACGGCGCAGTTCGCCGATTTGGCCGATGCTTCTAAATCTTTGAAAGCAAAGAAAACATACGGCCCCCTTTGGCCATCTGCCGCCATCGACCAGCAGAGCGATATAAATAAATCTATCGCCACGAAACGCCGCCGAGCAAACTTCGCATTTCGCCTTGCCTGTGTTCAATTTCATATGCCGGCGGGAAATTTTCATATGCTTTCAATTAAAAATATACAACAGTATATTTGAATAAAGCTTTCGAAAAAAGTTTTCGAAAGGTACTGAAGTGGCGACAATAAGCATGGTAGTGTGCCAGCTAGCAATGAGATTATATTGCGGTACACTGATTTGGTAATTTATTATCATGATTTTTTCTTTCATAATCACTGTTTAAAAGCTGCCCAAAGAACCAAAGGGTTTTAGAGTGTCAATATCATATCAATTAATAGTTGCGTTCGTGAACCTGTTAATTGTTCAAAGTTAACCAGAAATTTCAGGTTTTCGTTTCGCGCACGCAAAAAAAAATTGCAAAGTAAGGGAAATTGAGAGATCAAAGTGACATTTCATTTTGAGGTGAAGCTGCTGGTTTCGGCTGGAAAAATTTTTGCCAACAGCAATTTGCCAATAGAAAAACAGCTGGTTGGAATTTACGCAAATCGCAAAATTGAATTTGATGGTTTGAAGTAAAAAATGACAAAACGCGACTAATTAAACTTATAAGTAGTAAGCAGTTATTTGTTCAATCAACAAACTGTGTCAGGATGACACTTTGTGATAAGTTTTCGTACGTTTTAAATTTTACACTTTTGAATGTAAACAAAAATTATATCAGCTGTTCGTCTAAAAAGGTGTTCGCACGAGGCGATTTTACGTTCAACTCACGCACGAAAAAAAAAGTTAAATGGCTAAATTTTGGCTGGCGACCAACTTTGTTGAAAGCGATTAGTTAAAAGGCCGTTGAACAATGCTAACGCCTTTTTATCGCGATTATTTTGATAATTTTAACCATTCAATTTGATTTTTTCGTGCAACCCTGCGTGAGTTGAACGCAAAAGTTGCCTGAAAAATCGCCTCGTGCGAAAGCCCCATAGCTTGCAAGTTTCTGCATTTTTCCCGTTCGCGTACATGTTTGGATATGTTTCTCTTGTGAGAGAACTTAACGTTTAAACTAATAGATTAGCAATTTATTAGTGCAAATAACTCATACGTTTTTGCATAATATTAATAGAATGTATTTTCTAATAGTGCATAAATAGTGAAATTTCCACATTTGGACTGCTTTTACACAGTTCAAGTATTGAATTCAATTCTGCTCGCATGTGGGAGAGAGGGGGTGATAAGAAAAGGGACGAGTACACATGCGTCTGTACCGTCAAGTCGAACCAAAAACTTGAATTCAACAGAATTGAAACGTGTAAAAGCAAATAGAAAACACAAAAGACAATGAGCAAGAATTGCTTTCAAGTACTTGAATCATGTAAATCGGGTGTTAGAATAGTTACTAGAGCAAAGAGTTTGGAAAATAATTTTAATATGTACAGCGTACATTGCACACAAAAGGCGATGCATCGAAAAAAAAATACATCGATATATATCGGAAGGTCCAAAACATAGCATCGATGTTTCCGATGCATCGATTAATGAGTGCGAACCACGATCCAGAAAATCCTGCAAGTCTTGAATATGGACGAAGAATCAGACTATGAAGAGGAGGAATTTTTAATATTCGCTGACTTTAAAAATCAGCTAGGTTCTCTTGAACTGGATGAAAACATTCCAGTTAAAATAATTGGTCTGGACAGTGATCCAGTTGCTGAAGTAAATGGAAATATATTTAAAGGTATTTGATATTTATGTAAATAATTAACTTAAAAAGTATGTAAAAGCAAATATCAACAGGAAGCTTTGATAACCCAATGGGAACGTGTGTGTTCTTTGAGAAAGATCCAGACGCCACACCGTCAGATCCGTTGTTTGAAACTACTTGTCGACAAAAATATAAATATTTCGCCAAAACTAGTAAAATAATATATTTTGAACGTGTCTTTGCCGAAAGTAAAGAATGTGAACGGATGGATGATACGCCTGATGCTGATAACAAAAAAGCGTCTCTCGAAAAAGGCGATACCGGCATAAATCAAGACAGACATGAAAGACCATTTGCGGAGGTTAATCTTCAAATAAATATGTCTTACGACGAAGCTATAAGAAAATTTCAATCGTTCGATGATATTCGTTGAGTTACTAACCTTAACAAATTAATATAAGTAGAATGTATGTATGTATGTATGTACATATTTGTCCACATATGTATGTATATGTCCCGGTCCCAAAAATATAATATGCTACCACTTCAACTGGATTTGGAATGAATTTTCACTTCAAATTTATTTATATTATCTTTTCAGTAAACTGTTGAATCCCTAGCCAGAATGGAGGAAATACTAGGCCAAGAGATGCAGCCGCCAATTTCTTTAAAAGAATTCTTAGCAGATTGGAAAACTTCTCTTAAGTCTATGACGATACCCGAATGCCATGAAGATATTCAAGATGCAATGAATTTATCTGCAGACCCAAAGCGCTTCAAAAATGTAACTGCACAGTGCTGTTTAGAGCAACTACAACAAGATAATGACGCTAATATTATAAAGTTTGAACCGGGCACAAGCCACCCCTCTCGTAACCCTTTAAAGGTCAACGAAACCAACTTAAAAACATACCAAGAAATTAATAATTCTAAAGAAAGAATGCAACGTCGTAATCCTTTTAAGCGCTCACGCGAAATATACCCTATGATACCACTTCCTGTTCAGCACGAATGTGAGCAATACGAACCTTGCAATTTTTACAATGATATAATTGTAAAGGTGCGTATTTACAGGCCTGCTCGAGCCGTTCACACTGGGCAAAGTTTAGAAAAGCCAGTGTTTTCTGAAGAGTTTGAGTGCTTAGGCACAAATTATCTTACTGATTTACGTGACAAGATATCATGTGTTTGTAAAAAGAAACGCTTCTTCGATATTAGCAATAATCCGACTGCCGAACTACCAGCAAAGGCAACTGATCCAGCATTTTTCTTCATAAATAATACTTTCTATAATGACCGTCGCAATCCCAACAACGCAGATTATTCAGAGGTGATTCGTAATTGGGCTAAAAAAGCTGTCGGTCTGAAAGATTTACGTTTTAAAGTAGCACAAATGGAAACGACACGGTTCCTGGATTTAACTGTGAGCTTAGGGTTTCCGCAATTATACCAGCACCATGGCAATTGCGAGCATGTCTTCATCATATCCCAGGTAGATTTACTGATACCCAGCATAGCGTGCAAACAGCGCGAACTTTATCCCCGACTTTGCTCGTTTGTACACTTTAACACTCGTGTGTGCAATATGTGCGGCACAGGACGATATACGTTCATTGTTACAAAAAGTGATCGCCAACTCCATGATCCAGCCTATATCTGCAAGAAGTGCTTCTTTGATTATCATTACATCGATGGGAATAAAATTGGCGAATTCCATGCCTACAGAGTTAATGAGTTCAATGAAGACGAAGAAGTAAATTTCAGTGAAAATGTCGAAGTTGAAGCAGAGAATGCATCGGAAGAGAACGAGGAATTATTAGCTGGCGTGGACAGTACGAGGAACGATACAAAAGAAGACAGGGAGTTTACATATCTCGAATAGAATTAAGACGGAAGCAGGCTTGAGTAATTGAATTTATTTTATAATAACAAGATTTCGACGGAATGGTATCGCATGCAACTTTTTCCCTTTCATTTTGGGAGCAAAGTAGAGCTTCAAAACTATCCATGGCACTATCGATGGTTTTTGCTAATCGAAAACATCGATGGTTTTGTAAGCAGTATCGATAGTTTTCATTCATACATACATTATTCAGTAAGGTCGGTTTCACACAGGAACATTTCCGCCACCAGAACAAATCTGTTTGTTGGGAAGAGAGGGAGTGCGGTGGGGTAAAGTTTCTCAAAAAGTTGTTCCCATCCATTTAAAATTTTAATATAAATTTTTGTATAATGAGTTGTTCCAGCTTCTACTCCGCATTGAAGTGGCAGCTCTATTCAGTGTTGCCAGAACTGTTTAGTCCAACCGGCTAAATTGGCAAATTCAGCTAAATTTCACATATTTTATTTAAATAACTCACAAGTAGAAATACCAGTTCTTGGAAAAAAGTTGCAAATTCAAGTTAGACAAAATTTTGCCAGCAAGTATTCGCAATTAGGAAAAACATATGACTGTGGCACATGGATGGAATTTTTGTCGACGATAATTTGAATAAACAAATTCGTTAAATTTAAAAATTTACAAACTTGAGCGATTTGAAAATGAAAAATGTAAATAAATACTTGTTACTTAATTAATTTAGTTAATTGCCATGATTTGAAAGGTACTCGGCTGAAAAAATGTATTCATAATCGCAATACAATCTCAACCAGTCGATATAGGAAACCCGACCCTACGACAAAGAAATTGAGACGTATTTTGAAGAAAGTCGGACTAACAAAAAAACATACATGTTTTTGCCTCTCTGAAAGAGTTTCAAAAATTCTATAAATTTTCTTATGTTAGAAATGCAACTAACTTTACCTGCTCTGCACTTTTTTCGGTCTCATTAAATACAACTATTAGTTTCA